CCCTGTCAGATGAAAACAGGAATTTTCAGTTACAATATACAATACATGTTTTTAATTGTCCGTCTTTTTAAATGACAGTAGGACTTTGAGTCGTCTCAGTAATAAGAACTGTGTATGACATACCGAGGTCAGTAAAATATTCAAGGGCATGATCTGCTGCTCCTGCATACACAATCTCTCCTTTATGGATCAGGGTCAGGTGGTCGAACTGTTTGAAGATGGAGTAGCGTGGTTGGTGGATGGAGAAGATTATAGTTTTACCTCTTCTGGACAGTCTAGAAACATGTTGGAATTTTTTCAGAAAATAAACAGATGGACAACAGATATGTGCTTGGTACCAGGTATAAATAGCAGAACATGCAGTTTGTCAGCATGTTACAGTATGACGCAGGGTTTCATTGGTTTATAGAATTAGAGTACCGGTATTACATTATCAATGGGGAAATTAGTTGTAACTGTGCCACACCTCTGTAGTAGACCCATGATGCAGTTTGCTGTGTTGGAATCAAGTCCTGTTGTTGGCTCATCCAGAAACAACAGCGAAGGGGAAGTTACAAGCTCCATCCCAATGCTGCACCTTTTCCTCTCTCCTCCTGATACGCCGCGCAGAAACTCAGTTCCTATCTGTGTTCAAACAAACACAAAAACACACATCTTTGTCATGATCATGGTGCTGACGACTGGTTTAATTGTTCATTCCTTTCACCTGCTTAGCTCCGTGCAGTTTCTCATCACCATTCATTTCTCACCTGCTCCAGTTTCTATTTAACATGAATGCTTCCAGTCATCAGTGCCAGATTATTCGAGCCTTTGGAGAGAGTTCTCTAGTGTACCTGTTTGTGTTTTGATTGCCTGATCCTGACCAGTTCTGCATTTGGACCTCTGAGTCTGCCTGTTCCTGTTCTGATCTGTTTGACTGACTGTCTTCAGACTCTGGATTCTGCCTTTTGACCGAACCTGGAACTGCTTCCTGACTCTGCCCTGGATTTCCCTTTGGTACCTCTTCGGATCTCTGATCTTCTGGCTTGGACTCCTGTGAAGCTCTTTGACACCGGCTTAATGTTAACATACCGTAATCTAATTCCAGCTTTTAGAATCAACTCTGACTTTCCCTGTTTTTACAGAAACAAATATTCCTACAGCATTATGCTGGCTTGTTTGGGGTGACTGTTTTTAGCCAACCATAGCTTGATGTTAAATGCAAGAGCATTAGCAGGCACAATATGATAATATTTACCCTGTCAAAAGATTCAAACAAATTGGCTATGGAGTCCTGCAGCTCCTTTGGAGATACTCTGATCCTCTTGGCAGCTCCTCTGTTACTATTAATAATTTCATTTTCTGTGACTGAACACTGCTTTGTAATATTTTTCAAGTTGAGGATACCATTTTATAATCTAATCCCATTTTAAACTAATCTCCAACTTTATCCCTGACCTTTCTACTATGTACCTTGGCCTTGATGCTGTTCGCTCAATAATGTTGATGTTGATGCTAATATAAACCTTAAAGGCCCTCACCAGGCAACTGCAATTACAGTATAATGACATTAGATTTCACTATTTGGGATTTAGGGGATCTGCGAAGGCAAGAGGTTGCACTGGGTTTCATCTAGGAGGTTCAGGGTCAACCGATAATAATAAAGTGGCACCCTTTCAAGATTGTTCTCTAAAGAATTTGAAAATAATTTGTAATTGTAACAAATGATTTGCATTTGGCTAAATAAATTGAAGTTATTGTTTTGTAACATGTAACGTTTTACTGTCTGCAGAGAAACTGCAGGAAAATATATCTGTAAGAAAAATGTATTTCCTCTGAGCAAAGCAATCCAGCAAACAATGTGAATGACCATTATGTCATTGATAGTTAGCCTATTTGTACTAATTTGTGCTATTCTTCAATCAACAAATGCCAGTTGTTCTAAGAACAGAACAATCCCATGCTTCCTGTCAGTGGGAGAATGCTGCTGTTTTACCGTAGGTAAGAAAAAAAAAGAAGAAAAATACAATGTCTATCCAAACAGGACAACTCAGATCAACTGAAATAAAATAATTTTAAAAACGTACAAAATGTACAACTAAATCCTCTCTGTGGACCAACACCTCAAGGATGAGAGAGACTCTTTTGAGGACAAAACTTTAATATTTTGGAAAAAGAAGATTGACAGAGAGAGGATTAAATTAAGTCGTTTCTAACCACTTTACATCCCCTTGAATTTGACCAAACAACTCACAGTGAGCCAACTACCAAAGGCATGAATGAAACCCTATTTTAAGGGGAGTTCTATATATAGGTTTGCAGAAAATATTAAAAGCCTAAAACTTATATGAAAGAAAAGCACAAAATGTTTTTTAAAAAAGGAGTTGCAGTTTTTTTACTGTTTTAAACTTTTTGAAAGATCAAAATAATAAGAAACGTCTCTGTACAAATTGCATATTTACTCAGGAATCTCTGATTTCTTGCAGGAAAAATTAATGTTTACTTCCGCTGAATAATTTTCTATAAAGCAGCCCTCAAGAAGCCATAAGATTTAATTGTATTGTTTTAAAGCAAGTTACATGTTGCAAAATCTCAGTACCTTAGTGTTAGCACAGTCCACAAGGCCCAGGTCTTGTATGATGGAGTTCACTAGTTTCTGTTTATCAGCAGAGGAATAATGCTTCCGGTTAAGACGCAGATTGGCACTGAAAAGAAGGTTCTCCCGCACAGTTAGAGTGCCCATCAAAATGTCATCCTAAACAACATAAAAACAAAAGGAGTGAGGTAGATGAACAAGCATTATATATTGGAGGTTGTTGTAATACACTTGCTTTTCATACCTGTACCACATAAGCAGAGCTGAGCCTGAGTTCAGAAGTGACAGTTTTACCATTCACTTGAACCGTTCCTTGGCGCAGTCCTGCTGGATCTTTTCTACCTGCGATAACATCCAGGAGTCTGTGAAAAAATTCATAAAACCCATTGTTTACGACATATACCTAACTGAAAATATATAGCAGAGTAATTGAGCATAAAGAAAGATATCATACGATGTTTTACCACTGCCTGTGGCCCCCATGATGGCATTCATTCCTGGTCTCATTATGCCACTAAAAGATAATTTAATGTACATTTAAGTTTTATTTTATTTTTTTCCTATCCACTCAATAATATTATCACAATGTCAAAAATGGCAAGAAAGAATTTCAATTCCGTATTACAGTGTTCTATTCCTTTTTTAAATTTGACAGTTATGTCAGCTTTATTTTATACTTCAGTGTTTCTTAAAAAATGTCGGACATATCAACAGAATCAAATGGCATAAACAAATTTTACTCATTTATAGACAGAAATAAAAAATTAAAATGATACCTTATAATCTACAGTTTAAATAATTACTTGACAATTACCACTTGTGTTTCTTAAGAAATATTTTATCATAATCATAATACAGTATAGTATAGTATAGTATAGTATAGTATAGTATAGTATAGTATAGTATAGTATAGTATAGTATAGTATAGTATAGTAAATGTAATATAATATACTACTTAAAGTGCACTTTTATGTGGGATCAGAATCAGAATCAGAAATACTTTAATAATCTCAGAGGGAAATTACTTAATGGATGCCTTGAGAAGACATTTTTTGTGGTTTAATGCTTGAAATTAAATAAACAAAATATAGATTAGATCCAGTTAAACAACAACAAAAAATCCCAGAAAAGACGATTAGAATATTCACAGTCTCAATATTTGGGAATCTGGTCTTACCTTACATCTTTAAGAATATGTTTTTCAGGACCTATTTTGCGGCAGAACTTCTTTTCTTGAACAGAGTAATGCATCCTGGTAAAAGTGACAACTGGCCCAGGTTCCTGGAAGTAGTCCTCAACATCAGAATCTGCCTTCTTGACCTTGGCCATATTCAAACACTGCCAAGTTATAACACAAATGTGAAAGAAAAATGCTAAATGTAGACTAAGGTTTCACAAAGCAGTTGCAGAAGAGTCTGACACAGAGAACCATGCAGGATAACACAGGCAGCATGTGAGAGTATATTACTCAGGAAGCTGTTGGAATTCCCCCCCTTCTTAGTCTATAGGTCTGAGGGCAAACAGGGACGTACTGTAATGTTGAACTTTCCCCTCTCCGTCCTATCAACAAAGCAATTACAACCACAAGGAGATAAAGGCTTTAGTTAAACAGTTAATGAAAGCCATGTAAGGTGCCCCTAACAGGCTGACTGCAGAAAATAATTCAACCTGTTTGTTGGAGTGCAAAATAGAATAATAAATTATGGTATACATAAAACGGATGTAAAAAAGACAACAAAATTACTAATCATTAAAGAAATTATATCACCTATATGATATCACATACTGGCAAAAATCCCTTGTGTTACTGTGCTTTGCATAGGTTTGTGTAGCTCTTGAATTTTTTTGATAAATTAGCTTCATGGATCAAAACAACCAGTTATGTGACTGAAAAAATGTGTTTATTTGCAAATTTGAGGAATAATTAGTGGTTTTCAAAACATTTTGAGTTTTGACATTGTTTCATATATGCAATAGATATAGGATCTATTATAATTTTTAACATATTGATATAATAATGCATGTATAAATCATTGATTTATAGATTAATTTGAGCTGCTTAGTGCTAAATGCGTGTATTTGTTTATTTTAGGTAAATTATTATATATATATGTAGTTATTCAGTGACTCATTCTTTTAATTACTGTATTTTTGGCATGTAAGAACGCGAGATTGTCGCTTATAAAAGCAAGCGGTCTAAAACCTTGTGGCCTAAACTTTAATGGTTAGGGTGCCCTCTATCGTACGAAATGCTAAATGCCAGGCTAAACAGATGCTCCAATACTATCAACTTTGTTTTTCTCTGACCTTTTCGCTTGTGGTCTTTACCCAATCAGAATTTCTTTATAGCGAAAAGACCCGGCCCTAAAAACGAGTTAAACCAATCGAAATGCAGTTCACTGGGAAAAGGGGAGGGGCAAGTTTCAGAAATTCTAAAGTGTTGTCATCAGCGTTCTTTGGTTTGGTGTTTAACGATGAGCAGACAATAATCACAATGCGGCTCTAGAAAACGTTACTACTCCTTCGTTACCGCAGGCGGTGGAGGGGTGTATTATCTATTTCTCTAAAATAACGTGGAAGAGAAATAGTTTAATACACATTAAGTCCGACAAAACTCCACTCCGAACACAAAGCTAACCCGTTAGCCATGGAGGAGAGGAAGGAAGAGGGTGAAGCTGAAATCCAAGAGCACGGCCCCGAGCACTGGTTCTCGAAATGGGAACGGCAGTGTCTGGCAGAGGCTGAACAGGACAATCCCAACGAAGAGGAAAGGGAGCAGAGCCAACAAAAACTGTGGCACCTCTTTCAGAACTCTGCTACCGCCGTTGCACAGCTTTATAAAGGTGGGTCCCACACTTGCAGAAGTTCTGCTTTGAAGCTAATGCTAATAAAAGCTAATCCTAACGGTATGGTTTGTTGGTTAGACACAAAGGGCACTGTTAATGCTAATAGCGAATTCAACTAGTATTTAACGTAATATTTTCATGGTTTATTTTTATTACTCATACATTTCTTTTCATTAAACGTAGCCGTGATTATTCTGTGGTAATGTTCTCGATATCTTGACCCTGAAGCTGACTGTAACGGCTGCTAACGCTGTTAGCCGCTAACAGCCGGTCACCGTGTCAGACTGTTGGACAGCCCTGGCTAATGTTGCTTAGTGGCCTCGGCTGGTTCAGCTCCTACGTTTCTCCACTCGGCGATACTGTATTTGCAAAACTCCGTTTAACTCTAAAAGTGTTATCGCATCTTTCAAGACGTTCGGTCTCTCCATATAGACAAATGTTTTTTAGTCTTCGCGTCAAGTTATCTAGATTGTCAAAATGGCGATACTCGGGGAGGGGGCTGAAAACAACAGCTGTGTTTACGCTCTAATGTGGAGGAAATCGTTTCAGGATGTGCGGTAGATATTACTAAGTTATGAAAGATTGGGTTTTTTTATTCTAAGCGGTCAAAAAGCAAACTTAATAGCAACACGATTAGCCAATGACTACATTGGTAGCCTTTGGTACCACAAGATGGCGAAAGGATTAACATAAACGTTTCCGTATTTAGTTTTATGTTCACATAAGATATGTATGCATTTGATTAAAGCTGTGGTTTTGTATGCATCATATGGCGACGTTCCCACGTGAATGTTACAGGGATATGTAATGCAGTGTTATGAAATATTTCCAGTTAAACGTGTGCTCGAGAGTTATTTATAATTTTCCGAGAAGTTGTATGATTTTAAAGAGCATGATAAAGTCTTAACATGATACCAAGTTGCACTTAAGTGTAGCTGTGGCTCTGGGAATTGGACCATGCTTGACTGACATACTTGTCATAATTGGATTAAGTTGAATTCACAGCCTGTCACTGCATGTAATGGAACCACTTAGTGAAATTCTATGGACTTATATGAGGGCTCAAATTGACATGGCCGATATAAAACGTCCTAAGTCAGGTGTTGTTTTTGTATATCCGAAAATGTTGACTTCTAACCGTTTTTTAAATATGCAAATGTGTGAGATTAACAGTATAATATCAGTCAGACACACAAGGACAGCGAAAGTTGGGAAATCTGGTTTATTTCAGGGCATTTACTGATATTCAAAATATGAAATCTATTATCTTTATAGAGTTATGTCTAAAGACTTTTTATTGACATTTTTAAGTGATCTACAGAGCACTGTAGTGCTCTGAAGAACAGAAGTATTAACAATTATTTCCTTATTGGCATGGCTCAAATTATACATTGAATAATTTGTGCTACAAAAGAAAAATAAGTGGGGCAGTTGGATGTTTACATACCCTATATAGTGAAGTCCAGGTTTGATGCGAGGCAGAAATGTTTATCCAGTAATTTCTCTCTTCAAATACTCTTCACAGACCGTGTGTGCCAGCAGCAAGGTCTCTCCCTCTGGGTCCCCTTCCAGAATGCAGCCACCACTGTCACTAACCTGTATAAAGGCAAGTAAAACATTCTATTCTTAGTTCCCTCAAATTGCAGCATTATTTTGAATTGTGGAGAACAGAGTTAAAAGGGACTTTAACATTTTGTTCCCATTAGAGAGTGTAGAGGCCCACCAGCGGAGCTATGACCTGGGTGTTCATTTAGGCCACCAGCGCAGGAATAAAGAGGTGATTGCATGGGTTAAAAAGCGACGACGAACTATAAGACGGGAAGATCTCATCAGCTTCCTCTGTGGCAAAGTTCCACCACCTCGGACAGCTCGTGCACCACCCATAGTTACTATGGTGTCTGCAAGTCGGCCATCGCCACCAGAGGCGGATAACTCTGTTGAGGCAGACCTGCAGCCTTTCAGAGAGGCTATAGCCCTGCATGGTGAGTGAGAAATGTCAAGAAACACCAGTGATCTGTTGTAGCTTGAAGTTATATAGACGTCAGTTTGACATTACTGCATATATTTATTCTCCTAGGTCTAAGTGGTGCCATGGCTAGCATTTCTGTGCGTTCCGGTCCTCCCGGTTCTCCAACACACCCTGCACAGTCTCTTAGTCGACGTCGGAATGGCCTCCACGACATGGACCTTAACACCTTCATAGCAGAGGAGATGGCGCTTCACTTAGATTCTAATGCAACCCGTAAACGAGGCTCAGCACCCCACAGTGACGTCATCACAGACTCACCCACTCATAAACGGAACAGGATGCTGTGAACTGAATGTTCGAACCCTCAGCTGTCCTCTCCTCTGTGGCCAGTTGGACAGACGATAAGAACTGATGCCTTGGCCAACCATGAAACTCTTCCTCCTAAGTTGCAATGTTACAAATAAAGAAAAGCTTGAATATAATCAGTCTGCATATTTTCCCCTTATTTTTCCACCCAATTTTCTTTTTCCAATAATAAATTTGTCACTCATCCATTGTTTTTTACCCCCAGTGTTCTGATGCAAGCACACATTACCTTTTATCCTTCAATTTCAAAATGTTGCATTTGGATATGGCTTGTGTTAAACTTTGTTCTTTTTTTTTATCTAATGAACCCAGTACACACCTACAGTTTCAGCTTGCATCCCTCCCCATCCTGAACTATTTTTTTTTTTCTGCAGTGCAGGCCAATATTTGGGCTTTTATGGAGGCTGAACTGCTGCTGTTCGGCTCCACTTGGAAAAACACCATGTAGATTTTACTCTGCTGCTGTTTTGTGTTGGTGTATTTGACAGCAGAACTGCCACTATTACTGTATCGTACATGTCTGCCTTTTAAGAAAGCTGCTAGAGTATCTGGTTGTGGTGCAACAGTGAGTGTGTGTGTGTGTGTGTGTGTGTCATATGTTTGTTTCCATCTTTATTAGCTACTTCCCACCATTTACCTTTTATTTGCTCTTACTAAAACAAGGGTTTATTGCAGCATGTCAATAGAATTCATACAGACCAGTAGGCTAATGGCTGGTGTGTTTTTGGCTTAATGTTCTTTGACAAAATACCCTTGCTCTGTCTTATTAGCAGTTCTACACATTAACTGCACTACCATCTGTCAACACAAGAAAGACATGCAGAGTATTGAATAACACACAAATGCATCCTAGTTCTTGCATTACAACCAGTAACAGTGTTCAGAGGCTTGCATTTGAACTGCTTAATGTTTACATTTAAACCATTATTAGGATCGTAGAGTCTTGCGTTATCATTTTATCTTCCTTTATTTCCATGATGTGCTACACTCATATTTGTGATTTCAGCTTTAAACCTAGAAGGGGCCGGTGGCTGTGAGATTATATTTTGTTTAGCCAGCTCATGGAATAATGGGTGTGTTTAGTTTGGCAAAGACGCTTGTGTTTTTGCTAATTTCACACACTTTTGTGATACAATCTTGTGTAAGCATGTAAATATGTAGGTGCAGTTAATATGTGGTACATATTGTAAAAATAAGTGCTAATCCATTGGCAAGTCCTTGTACAATGATTCTAAAATTAAAAGAATACAAATGTTTTGCTCCTCTTTTTTTCCCAGTGCAGAATACTAAATCCTTTTAAACTGATCTTTCTTAGATCAAGAGAAAACAATTGGACATGATTTCGACTGTATTATGCAGTGCTTTCTCATTTGGCTACCCTCTTTCTAATCGTTTCCACCCAGTTAATCTTTGCAATATACTTAGTCTTCCCAGTAGTGTAAATCAGTTTACAACTGTAGTTCAACCTTAGAACACATGAGGGCGACACATACTTAAATTATATTACAGGAGCTGAGGTTAACATTTTATTATGAAAAAGGAATCTTGATTTATATATATGGTAATTGAAAATAAACTTAGTCTTTGACATTCATAAGAACGTATATCAATTTTTTTAGCTCTGGTCTTGCTAACACTAAAATGAATCAGACAACCTGAAAGTTATATTTACAGTACATATGACATTTAACTCTGAATTACTTTTTACATGCATTAAAGTGTAATTTCAGTGATTTAGAAAATAAAAGTTACTGTTATTACTATGGGCTGCGGCTTTAGGTGAGTCTGAAACGACACCCTTGTTTTTTCAAATGTCTGTTATTGCTAATCTCAGTAACTGGATAGGAAACAATGAGTCTAGTCATTCCTGCAACTCCAACTTAGTTACTGCTTGTGCATGCATGTAGTAGATGTGATAATGTAGTCACATGAGGACAGAAAGGAAATTTTGTGTGGCGAGAAATGTATGCATATTGAATAAAAACACTGAAGAATGGAGCATTGAGGGCAGATTCTCACCAACTGTCTGGTGTGTGGTAAAAGACATGCTGATATGCTTTTATCAATAATTTGATAACTATGCTAAAGTAGACATCTTTAATGCATCCTGTAATATATACAGGAGTGTTACCATGGCATCGGTCCCCCATGGCAGCATCCACATCTTAAACTCTTTTGAGAAGGCTATCTTCCAATTTAAGGTGTGTGTAAGGCGGCAACCTGACCATCTTTCAAGGAGAGCATTTTTTGAGGCCATAACTGTTTTTCCCCCTTTTTTACATAGGACTGAACCCCAATCCATACTACACTCTGTGCACAGGAGGTCTGTATCTAAATCTTCTTTTACCTCTATATGCATTGTTTCCAACACTGCAATTTTTTCCATGTCTGACTTGCTGTTATCCATATTGTGTACATTGTTGGAATAAATCTAATGCGGAACCATGAAAAATAGTTATAAGGAAATTTTGTAACAAAAACTTATTGTAAAAGTAGCTTTCTATTATGGTACTATGCTGGGATTCACTGACTTCCTGAGAACAGTTTGTAGAAGCAGCCTATACTCCTTGGTGCTGAATTTTATTAATCTGCTGCAACAGAAGGGATCTAAATTGATTGAAAAGAAAATCTTACCCTTTCTTTCTTACCAAATACCCTCTGAATGGTCATCCCGTTTATGTTTTCACTAATGGTCTTGCAAATAGACGTGGTTGGGTCCTTTCCTGAAGCATTCCTGCTGTGGAACATGGCACATCATTCTCCCTAAAGAGGCCACAGTGATCAATGGAGGCTGCACTCACAAAAGAGTGTTCACTAACATCAACAATCATAGGTAGGTGATACATGTCAAAGCAACATCTACTCAGATGGGAGGACCCAATATTTTCATGCACAGCAAACGTTGAGGCATAACAATGTGGTCAGGTTCTGACCACAGAGCAATATTCAACAAAATAGCTTTAACTTCTACAGCGAGCTGAGCTTCAGCTTCTTATTTATTTGAGTGAACCACATGGGCCAGTGAATAGGGTTGGGAATTGATACATTTTTCAATTCACTTATCGATTCTGTGAAACGATTAGATTCCTTATCGATTCTCTTATCGATTCTGTGAAACCTGGGACATTCTTTTTCCGCCTGCCTCGGTGAAAACAGAAGGCAGTGAACTGGAGCTGCCACCCTTGGATCCAGCCAGGCGACCCGTCTCGTTACAGTGATCTAAATCTAATGGAGAAGGCATCTGTTTAATGAAAGAGCATTACTGTACAATTTCAGGAAATAAACTCATCTCCCCCTGATTTAAATAAACGAGCGTCACCTTTCCCTCGCTTCCTGAACTGCGGAGCAACTTTGTAGCTATTCTAGCTATTGCATATCCAAGCAATAGCTAGAATCATGTAAGAATTCCAGCTAGTTCTAATTAAACATACTAGAGAGCTGGATTAACAAGAAAGGCACACTCCCTTAATAACCCCAAGGAGGGGAAGAAAATTGGTTTATTTCCAGAAATGGCATGATTTACTAGGAACCACATTGAGCACAGCCGGTGATATAAAACTAGCTACTTACCACCAGAGTTGCCTTCCATGCTGGTCGTAACTCGTAAAAACAGGGCATTCGTTAAAATGTATGCCATGTTGTGTGCCCAGGTGTTTCTGCATGTAGGACGTATTTCCTCCCACGGATGTTATTGCCACTTTGCAATCATTGCAAAGTGCCTTGTTGCCATTCCGTAAAAATTCAAAAAATATCCACTGGACTTGGTTTTCAAGATTTGAAGACGTTTCGCCACCTCTCCAGGAAGCTTTCTCAATTCAAATGTGAGCCATCTTTCTCTTCCTTAAAATGAAGCCAAACTTTCGATTGCTTTGAGTGCTTTTGTTTTGCTTTTGTAGACTTACGCCTGGTCACGTCATACTTGCTTACTGAATGCCGTGTGTGTAACTTGCGCAAAAAACGTGACGTAAGTCGTGCTGCCCAGCGCTAGGCTCTGGTGCTGCCTGAAACCGTTAGGAGAATCGTTAAGTGAGCTGCCAAACAGTGCCATGGACCGGTTCTGAACAGGAACCGGTTTCCAATTCCCATCCCCACCATTGAACCTTGACCCTGCTTCTGGTTCTCCACATATTCTTTATTGGATCACTTGAAACCCTCCACAAAAACTGATGTTAAAGACATGCTTTCAATCCAGTCTTCCAATAGGCCCAACTATGAAAGAGGCATGACAGGGTTTTCTACTGATGCTGTCACCTGTGTTCAAAACACAGAACTGCATTACTCTTCTGCTCGCTCTCGTAGCTCGCACTCGTACTTCTTTTTTTACCCTTATCACCTTATGTGGAGGTGCCATTGGTGTCTGAGTTGAAATGGATGACAGGTGCTTCCGAGTATCCACAAAATCCATGTTGAATATGACACCTTAAATGTTGGCTAGGTCTGACCCATTCAACATGGATGCACTTGACGTCACATACGTTACACAGTATATTTTTCTGTAAAATCCTACATAATGATACTTTAAACATATTAAACTCCTTATGTTTGACAATTGGCCTCTAGCAAAAAGAACATTAAATGTAAAACATGGACTGGCACTTAACATATCTTAACCACTAACCAGTAAGAGGTCAAAAAGATTTTCTGTTATTCAATATTAGCAGTGGTGCTACTATTTTGCCGAATTACTTTACTTTGATTTTGGTAAGGAAAAACTTAGGCATTCCAGAAATAAGCATTAGAGTTTCGTTTAAAGTGCTGGATAAAAATATGTATAGATAAATATCGGAGCTATGCAATCAAAGTACAATGATTTGGCATGTTATTGTCAGCCTTTGCAGGTGTTTGTTAAACATATCTGTCTGATTTGATAGCAGGTTTTACTTTGGTCTCAACAATGAGCACACTTTAAAAGCCCTACTCTTAGAACCTAGCTGTTGTCTGACACTAAATCACAAAGCACCAGCAGGAACCCTAAACAAGAAGCAGGTGCATCAAACTTGAAATGTCAGAGCAAAGAGCTTTCAGGTCAACAGCCACAATTGACTCCAGATTTCAGGTTCACCCAAGTAAGAGACACAGTTTGATCCCCTCTGTCAGTCTATCACTACAGAGTCGAATCAAGAGCAGCATCATCTCACAAGAATATCTGCTGTCTTTCATCTGCTCTCACTGTGCCGTTGTTTCTATTTCATTATTTATTTGAAGGCACTAAAGGCTCAAATTTGAAGGAAGGATGGAATAGGAAAAGAGCTGACCGCAAGCTGCTTCACACTTCAAAAGAAGTGCTGAGTTTCGATGTGCATGCGTGTGTGTGAGGGAGAGAGAATGTGGGATAGCGAAAGAAAGGAGACATGACGAGAAGCAACAAGTGTCTGAATGTTCCAGAAAACCCCTCGAAGATGGCCATCTGGACCGCATTCACACACACACTTAGAAACACACACACATATAGGTGTCTCCAAGGATGCCGTCTGGTCTGAGGGAGAGAGCTGGTGGTGCAGCTTGTGAACCATTGCACACAAACATACAGGTGCTGGTCATAAAATTAGAATATCATGAAAAAGTAGATTGATTTCAGTAATTCCATTTAAAAAGTGAAACTTGTATATTATATTCATACATTACATACAAACTCATATATTTCAGATGTTTATTTTGTTTAATTTTGATGATTACAAATGACAACAAATGAAAATCTCAAATTCATCATATCAGAAAATTAGAATATTACTGAAGACCAATAAAAACAAAGGATTTATAGAAATGTTGGCCAACTGAAAGGTATGAACATGAAAAGTATGAGCATGTACAGCACTCAGTATTTAGTTGGGCCTCCTTTGGCCTGTATTACTGCAGCAATGCGGCGTGGCATGGAGTCGATCAGTCTGTGGCACTGCTCAGGTGTTATGATAGCCCAGGTTGCTCTAATAGTGGCTTTTAGCTCTTCTGAATTGTTGGGTCTGGTGTATTGCATCTTCTTCTTCACAATACCCCATAGATTTTCTATGGGGTTAAGGTCAGGAGAGTTTGCTGGCCAATTAAGAACAGGGATACCATGGTCCTTCAACCAGGTACTGGTAGCTTTGGCACTGTGTGCAGGTGCCAAGTCCTGTTGGAAAATGAAATCTGCATCTCCAAAAAGTTGGTCAGCTGCAGGAAGCATGAAGTGCTCTAAAACTTCCTGGTATGTGGCTGCGTTGACCCTGGACCTCAGAAAACACAATGGACCAACACCAGCAGATGACATGGTACCCC